TACTGAGCGACCCATTATAAATTAAATTAGGAGTTCCCCAGGGTACTGTTTTAGGGCCAATCCTATGTATATTATATTTAAATGATATGTTACCCATTGATATTTCTGGAAAAGCGGTCTCATTTGCTGATGATACAGTTATTATAATTGATGGAACAACCTGGGAAAATGTAATATCTCATACAAGAAACGATATTGACACTATATAGTGAATTAGCTTGAAGAAGTTCACTGACAATAAATATTGATAAAACATATAACATTTCATTCTGTAGTAACACTCATGAATTTCCCAATGCACAAAACATAAATATTCATTTAACTAGCAGGAATAAGAACATAACTTTGAAAAAATCCAGTTCAGTAAAATATCTCGGAATACACTCCGACCATAATCTTAATTGGAAAATACATATATCTTTGTAAAAGATTCAGAGCCCTTTTGTATGTTTTTCGAACACTTAAAAATATACTGAGCACCAATGATTTGCGCAGTATATATTTTTCGTTAGTTCAGTCTCTCTTAATGTATGGAAATCTAGGATGGGGTGGGGTCTATAGTACAACTGTACAACCGCTTATGGTACTACAGAAACGATTTCTCAAAATTATCTATAATTTAAATTTTCCTTTCCCATCGGTACAAATATTCCAAAATTGTGATCTGATGAGTTTGAGATATCTTTATTTCAAACAATTATGGATGAAAATGAAAAAAGCTATTGGACAAAGATTAATTAGATATACTGAACCCAAATCATTCAATCTTGCTCTAGATCAGATGAAAACGGAATATATGTTATTCAAAATTTCAGTAATCAAATGGCTCAAAAATGAAAATATAACATTACTATGAACAAATTCTACTGAATTAATGTCTCAATTTTATAATAAACTGATGTAATCCAATCACTAAGATTTTCTATTGATAGAGGCATTATAACGTCTGTTAATTAGATACATATTAGTAATTTGTAGAAGTCTCAGTCATGCTTTGGCCATCAAAAAGGATTTCAGTTTAATGATTACTTTCATAATGGGTAACCTTCCCAGTTGAATTAACTTCATATTGTCTGAAATGTTTCACTTCATTGTTCTGTTCGATTACCGAAATTCTTTGTCTTGTGCACTTTTGATGAATTTCACTTCTCTTCACTTTCTTACTTTCACTAAATGAATGAAATCAGGAATCGAATGTAGAAATGGAATTGAATTAAATAAGCGAATGAATGTCATCGATGACATGAGTAGGTTCAACTCATTCGTGACATGGGGTCGTAATTTAATGAATGAACTGAGAGCTCAATCTTATAATGACATCCAGATTGGTGCTGCAGAGCCAATAAGACAACTGTCTTATTCCGAATCATCGAATGGTCGCCTCTAAGAATGACAGTGTTTCAATATACGATATTGTGTACCATCTCTGCGACATTACTGTCGTTTCGCGGCTTCTTCAACTTTCTTGGGGTTCCCTCCGTAGAGGTGCACAAGTGAGGGAGCTTTCCTGCAGGGCCAGCCGGTTCCTTGCCTTTATTCAAGGCAAGAGCCCTTTTCGCCCGCCGAAGAAAGTGTCCTTGCTGTTGGAGGTGGAGTGGGGTAGGAGGAGGGTGCACTTATAGTTGCTGTCACTCCTGCCTCTTTACGCCTTGGCCTTTGTATTACATCACGAGGTGATCTGCTATGTCCAGCCTCATTCCAAGCGGTAGATTGGGGTGGACAGTACTGTTCACCCCCAGCCACCACCTTAGATTGAGGTGAGCACTTCTGTCCAGCCTCGGGATTGTTTTTGTTGTTTCTGTTTATTGTGTAGCAATCCTGTGAATTATATCTGAGTCAATTCCATAACGAATGTTTGGAGTAATAATTTGCTTTCTTCCTTTCCTTGAAAGATTTCCACTTTTTTGTATAAAGAATGAGAAGTGGAAAGTCGAACCTTTCTATCCTATAACTGATATCTTTCTGAATGCACAGAATAATGTGGTTTCTCCTAGAAAAATTTTAACATGAGAGTTTTTCATAAAATACTAATGGACCTCATACCTGATTTTTGTAGCCTCTATTATAAAAGATAAATGATGTTGAATGAGTAAAACTTGAAATTTTCAGTAGGTAATGCTGATTTTTTTGTAGTTTAAGTATAATAGAATTTTAAAATTTTTGTCACTTGACTAAGATAGTTACCAATTTATGGTAAAATATCAGTAATCTGTAAAAATACTGGTGTTTGTTTTTGTCACTGTCGTTTGTATAAAGAAATAGAAATATTCAAAATGAAATTGAATTGTCCAGTTTTTATTTGAGAAGGTTTTCTTGTAAAACAAAAGATCTGGTAATTCATTGCCAATAATAATATACACAACCAAAATAACACTCACTCGAAAGTAATTTAGTGAACTTTCTAATAATATATGTTGGCGACATTCGGTTATAGACGTTTTTCCATGTAAGCACTTAAAAAAATGGAATTAATATGAAGTTGGGTTATTTTTCTACGATTTAGATACTGAAATGGCCATGTAACCACAGAAAGAAATTTCAATCTATGGAATGGAGTGGTGTGTATACGATTATTTGTCGGTAGGTATACAACAGTGTTTTTACTGCAGATATTATTCTTGGGTCTTTTTGGTACATCTGAGCAATTCATCTTATTCAACTGAAGTCAGTTGGACACTTCAATATAGCTTCACTTCACTTCAGTATAGTATCACTTCAGTATAGCAGAGAAATTGAAGTAAACAATGATATATTAGGAGATCTTATCCTTGATCTGAATTAACCAAACAGAGATTATTGCTCATATAATAATTCAATTCAACGTTCGAAGCTCAAAATTTTTCTGTCACATAAAATTTTTGATAAATGTTGAACAGTAACTAATGACTCTTGAAACCACCGAGAACGTGTTTAACACAGATTTCTAAATTACGTCAATTTCAAACTTCATATTTCCCTTAATCATCAACAGTCCGAGTAACTTGACTAATATATCTCCATTTTCTTCAAAGAGAAAACACACGAGTTCCTACGGCTCTACACTATCATAGATGATATTTTAAAATATCCACATATTTCGTCCCTACTGCTCAAGTTCAAAACTAGTCTCATCCTGCATGTTATCTCATGAACATTTAGGCTTTCTCTTCAAGTGTTTTTCAATTGGGCAACTGTATTTTATTGTATATAATTAAATAATGCTTATTTAGGCCAGACATCTGATGTCTTATCATCTCAAAATTAGTGCTAAATTTGTTATCTCTTTCCAATTGTCATTGTGTTCTCTACTGGGCTTGTACCGTTGAATAATAAAGAGTAAATAAATGGTTGGTAAGACAATTTCGACCTTAACTTAATACTGTACTGAGAATACACTATTAAAACACACTTTTGTCTATTTTCCACGATAGTTTTATATTTGTTTACTAGTTTCGTTCATTATACCATTTTTCAAACTAACTAGATTACATTCAAATCTGAGTATTTATAACTATATTGCCTCTACCTATCCTAAATAATTTGATACCTACATTGTCTATACCTGGGATAACCTGAATCAATAGTAGTATATCCATGAACATAACAAAAAATTTGATAAAATGTACGTTTTGGGAACTGGGTTATAGGTTCAGAGGAGGACTATTGTTTAGATCAAATTGTTCGTTGAAGATAATAGAATTGGGATTTTTCTTTGACTTGTTCATTTCCATAGAAAATAGTCAACTATCGTGAAAAATAGACACAAAATAAACAAGTCGTCAATCAAAGAAATAATACAGTACTGTTTCATTTCACAGAAAATCTCTGATTTCCTCTGACACAATTGCGATTTGCTGTTAACCTTGAAGTTGGTAATGATTGTTCCACTTGAGGCTTTCACATATCTGAAGTCGCTTTCATTGGTCTGACATTTACAATAATGCGGTTAATCAAATATCGAACAGTTCGTTTACAGTTGTTCAATTTTTTATCTACGAGCAAGCGGTTTTTCTCGGCTTCTAACGTATTCTATAAAACACCTTCTTCTTCATGATATCAAAATTAAATTTCGAGTGTGATAGACAATAAATAAATTAATTCATGTATCTATGGCATAATTAAAATTTTCCATTTGTTAATCTCCCGAGATATTGAACTACGAATACGAAAACTGATTATTACAAATTTTTATTTTGCTTAATTGAAATAGTAACTTTGTACCACTAGAATGGAAATAGTGCTAGAGCTGCTGCCCATATGTTCAATGATAACCATCCAGGAAGAAATGTACGACACAAATTTGTTTCGGAATTATTGAACAAATTTATGGAAACGGGATCTGTTAACAATAAAAAGCAAGTTGTCAACGATGAAGCTATTTGTACTGCAGTTTTATGACAAGTTGGACTACTAGAAAATTCGCAATCTCTTACTAAGTTATCTCGAGAATCAGTAGTCAGTATCGAGTTTTGTGACAGTCTCACTGAACGGATCAACTTGCCTCAGAATTTCTTGTATGAAATTTGTTTTTCGGATGAATGTACGTTTATTTTGAATGGAGAGGTGAATCGGCAAAATTGTCGATATTGAAGTGACACGAATCCTCATTTATACTGTCAAGTTCATACCCAACGACCTCAAAACCTGAATGTTTGGGCAGAAATTTTAGGCGACCACATCATAGGACTTTTATTATCGATGATAATTTGACTAGTGATGAATATTTAGACATGTTGAAGAATTGAATAATACCGTGCATCCATAGGGCAATTGAGGAGGTTATACATTTATTCGAAAACTAAATCCTTTTTCAGCAGGATGGTGCACCTCCTCATTATGCAGCTCCAGTGCAATACTTTTTGAATGATAATTCTCCTGGTCGCTGGATTGACAGAAAAGGTCCTACAGACTGGCCACCAAGGTCTCCGGATCTCATTCCTGTAGATCTATTTCTATGGCATCATTTGAAGTCTGAGTGTGAGAGATAGAATCAACAACATTAGAAGATCTGAGGGAGATAATTCTGAATTATATCGTATCCATTTATTTATTGAGCAAAAACTAATACAACTATAAATTGAAGTACTCTAAGCTGGCGTCAAATTCCCGAGAACTTTTGACCATCTACATCATCAATCAGGAGTTTATCGCCGGTCTTTTCCTGCATGTCTTCAGAAATCCCTTGGGAAATATCTCTGAATACCATCGGATCAATATTCTTGGATAAATATACCAGAAAAAGCCAGTCGGTAAAACTAACTTGATTCAAGAGAGAGAGCACCCTCCAAGGATTGAGTCGACCTGGAGAGGAAGTACAGAACACCAACCTGTCGGTGAAATAAAGAAAAACGTATATAAAGCTACTCCAAACTAAATTTTGTTATTAATGAAAATTATAACTATTCGAAATTATCATTTATAGGGTTATCTATACAACCGTATAAACTTGAGTACGGAATTGAAGGTATCTGGTCTTTGAAATCGGAGATATGTGCTGTATGTTTTTTGAAACGATTTCAATGGCTCGCCTAGTCTGACCGATATATTTTTTTTCAATGTCCTCACAGTTCATTTCATATATCCCTGCTTTTTCGTTCTCCAACATCTTGTCTTTGTGGTTACAGTTACAGTGAACAAGAAAGTTTGAAGGTTATTTTCACGTTTAACTTTCAAGGTTCAACTTTGAATCTGTCTTTTTGAAATGTCGAAAATTCACAAAGATTCTCCCTGAATTAACATTTTCTGATCAACTCGTTTACTATATTTGAAGAATACCCGTTTCTCTCAGATATATCGCTGATGACATTTTTCTCAATACCGTAGCTTTCTTTACCCCAAGAGGAACGTCTATGGAAAGCCTATGGAAAAGAATATTTGGACCTGCCATTTTTGTTGTGGACAATGGTATGAGCTATCAGGAATATATCTAAAAGTACTGGTATTCTTTGTAAAGACTAATCCCTGGTCACTTGTAATCAGTAAGGCACCCAAGAATGGTAATATCTCGTTGTTTTCAATTTCGTATATGAACTCAATGATTAATAATAATAATAATAATAATGGTATTGGATGGAGCCTGTAAAGTCGTCAGGAGTTCCAATCTCCTTCTCCGCGACCAAGTGAGAGCAGAAATTGGAGCATTCATTTTCAGGGTACTTGCTCGAGCAGCTGGTGAACTTGGTTTAGTTTTCAACATCGAACGAGGTGATCACAACTCTGTCACCAAGTTGGAACCCGTCTACAAAAGGCTCGTATAAAAGCCGAATAGATCACTTCACTTCTACAGCAACACAAGAATAAGCCAATGCTTGGGGTCTTCTTCAACAACCCTGAAGACTTCGGCTCATTGAAGCGCCTGACCTTCGCATTCGCCAGGTCGAGTGGAATGATGGCGAAAATTGAGGGGTTCATCACGACCTGTTGATTGTGGTTTACAGATTATCAAACCTGACATGTACGGCTACAACTGTGGCAGATATTTCCATAGACTGTGAGTTGGATATGCCTTGACCAAACCAAAAGTTGTTATGGAATTGTCTACGCATTATCTTTCAGTTTCGGTTCCATTTTCGGTTTCCGACTCACCTATATACCAGGTATTGCTATCTACCATCATTTTGGGATGGCTGTCCACTATCTAGTCCTCATGGTTTGTGGCTATAACCATGACATTTAAGTCAAAACTGTAGAACTTAATGACGTTCTAAAATTTATATTTGACCCGCATCTTCTACAGCTAGATGAGGAGTAAAAGGGGTAGAATCAAGTGAGTTTCTGAAGCTGCTCTTTTGGTGTGTATTCCCTTGCTCTCGTTATCTCTAAATATGCACTTTTCGCACTCTGATCGTTGTATCTATCCAACTCGGAGTTGAAGAGATCCGAGTTTCTCCATCTGATCCATTTCGTTGTCTGCAAGGCCAGTGGCCACATTATATTCATCATGGTACATTATGGTCACAAGCTTCTATATCAGTGGGGACAAAACCTTTCTGAAAATAGCCTTCTGCTAAGCGTGCCACTACTAATTTTTTCATAATGGTCGTGTATACCACTAGATCCCTAGATCATCCAGCCTTTGTGGCTATTGCTGACGACATGCCACCTATAACATTCAAATGTGGCAATAAAAACTGGTGACATTTTACCATGTCTTCCATAGAAGACACCACAGGTTTACCCACTGCTGACGGAGATATCACAGTTTATTCTCCATGATTAAATAATAGTTATTTTGTCGACTATATAGATGTCGTTCTAGGTAAAATGGGCACCTACAATTTCGTTTAAAATATATTATGTGGTAATTTATCCTGGATTCCTGATTTATGAATCCAATTCATTTCTATACTAACCTATTGAAAATTCTGCTCCTGGAGTACAAGAAAATAGTCAGTATTCTCCAGATGACAGCTAATATCGAACCGATTAGGATAAAAGCGAACCAGAACCACAATCCAGTGTAGATCTTCTCGTTGACAATGTTGAGAGCCATGACACACATTGCATCATGATGCTGGATAGAACCCGATGGACCGTATTTGTGGAAGGTACATTTCGTTACCTAGAAAGAGAAGGTGCGTTGTGAAGAATTAGACAATCACGTACAAATCAATATGTAATGAGGTCGGGTGGGTCAATAATCAAGTATCAGATGAACTCAAAATCAATCATTCCTATCCTATAAACCTATAAATGAACAGAATCGTTGAAACCACTTTTGGGTCTCAGTACCAATTAAATATTTTGCAAAAAAAAGTAATATTGTCTGGCTACCATTTTGAAGACATTGGATACGTAATCTTGGTTATGGGATAAAGATTCTTTGTACTTCTGATGACGTCAATTATTCTGAATAGATTGTTTAATTGAATTATTTCACTAAGAGATTAATTTCTGTTACATATCAGTAGAGATGTTTGAAGAAAAATGTATGTTTGAAGGTGATTGACAATGTTTCGTGATGAATTTCACTAGTTCGGACTTCCATTGTCTACTATATAAAATGAAATCCCTGAAACAAGTAAAATCATTTTATATAGTAGACAATGGAAGTCCGAACTAGTGAAATTCATCAAGAAAAATGTAGCTGTCAAGAAATACGTTCTGGATCAATTATATTTTCTATTTGTTTGCGAAAATTCTGCGTAGAGAATGGAAAGAACTGAAAACTGATCACGAGCAGGAGATGGAAGTTTCAGACAATATAGTTTATTAAATATTTTATAGGCTGTGTATTTCCAGGGTTCGAACTTTGGCCAATGTCATCTTCAATTTAACTCTTCAGTTGATTGGCTAAGAGATATTGGTTGAAACATATTAGACATTACTGGGATATATACAGTTATTGATAGCCTGCCTCTTGAATTTGTGGTGCTGATTACAGCTTGGGATTCAACGGTTCTCAATCAATGAACTCTTACCGACAGGAGAACAGAAACTTTCAACTTCAGATGGACAACTGAAAAATCTAGCTCATCAAATTCAATCTGTTAAAATCCGGCAAAAATCAAACTAATTCTGTGAGAAATTAGAACAGTTTGGAAGAAAAAAACAAAATGTTGTTGCAAACAAGTAGGACATTGGTTGTAGAAATGTCCTCTTCAACAATCGCAGAAATGTGAAGAGGTTGGTTTCAAAAAAATAAAAATCGACAGAAAGCAAATTAAGAAATTAGATCAATTCTAAAATGAATGAGAAGAACACCCTGTATATATGGAAAATGCAACTTGACTGAAATATATCATAATTTTCATGGCAGATATCATCAATTCGAAAAATTCTGATCTTTAGTTATTGGCAATGCAAAATGAAATGAGTTTTTTCATCAAACTGGAACATGGATGCTGAACTGAGAAATCAGAAAAATCAAGGTTATGGTATGAAAATTTCTGAGTACAGAGGATTAAGGGCAAGGTAATTGCAAGCTTTGCCAGAGTTTGAAAACTGTGACGTCACAGTAGTGAATTGACAATTATTGGCATTCTGGAATTGAAATTTGAAAGGGAAATTAGAATTCATGATTTTCAAAGTAGTAGATAGTTTTTTTTGAAATATTATTTTGAATATTTTAGGTTATATTGAATGTCTTCGATTGACGACTTGTTTATTTTGTGGAAATTCATTCATTCATGTTTTGAAAATGGTATAATAGCCGAAACCGGTCAACAATAAAGAAATATAGTGGAAAATAGACAAAAGTGTGTTTTTGTAGTGTATCCACAGTTATATTGAATGATTGTGATGCACTGTTTAGATTCTTTGGTGTAGTAATGAATAGTACTACTGGAGGTTTTTCCCCAGCACATCTTCCTCTTGAAGATAATCACTTGGTGATCGAAACACGTGGCGAGGTGTTAAAAATAACGATTTGGTGTTGGGGAGAAAACTCCAATAATATTCATATATTGAGTGAGTATACTTGACTGCAAAAACTTTTCTAATAGTAGTCAAAACCTCTATTATGAAATTGATAATGATAAAGAAAAAGTGGTCTCACCTTTGGAAATACTTCGTCCAGAATATCTACGTTGGAGTTTAAACCTTCTGACAAAATATGCAAACCTAAACTGATAAAATTTCCACCCAGAAACTTATTAGTGAGGCAAATTTGGAATATGACGTGAAGAACATTGAGTACCTCACAGACGATCAGTTTCGTGGACCAATTTCTATTTACGTATATACCTTGCGTGAACAGGTTTCGGATTTGTTGAATTTTTTTTGTTCTGAAAAATGAAATGTTATATAAAAAATTGATATGTCTGGTTCTAGAGCATGTTATATAATTTAGGTTATCGATTAACAGATATCTACTAGCAATTGACCATATGATATATATTCATTCTTCACAATTTACTGGCCGACATTTTGACGATGCTCATCGTTATATTCAAGACATGTTTTTATTGTTTGTTGCTTCCAAAAAGGCGACAAGTGGGACCAAAATTGGTAAATGAATTGTGAGTAAGAACTCAACGTCCATCAATTCATTAATGTCGAAATTCTATTTATCCCACTTGAGTCCCATATTTTTCATTTAAAGAAAAATTTCCATTATTTCATTATTTGAATATAATTAGAAAATATAATGATTTGAACATATCTTTTGCAATATTTTGAGAACCATCTCTCATATAAAATGAGCTGTTCTTATCTTTAATTTTTGAGAAAGATGTTTGGCTTTTACTTTATACAAGAAATTGTGAAAAACTTTATTTTATTTCATCGTACTCTTTCATAATTATAGATAAAATAAACAGGTTTTTGCACATTTCAATTGAAAGACTGCTTACAATTCAATGAAGTAGTGAAATTCTAATAATTTCAGATTGTATCACTTATGGAATATGGTAGGTATATTTAATTCTTTTGTATACTTATCGCCTTTAGTAGGAATCATGAGTTTCTTCTGACCCTGCTTCTGTTTCTTAGACTTTATTTCGAGTTCTTTGTCTTCTAATGAGAAGGCCGCGTACTTTAGTCCGTTTACTAAATATTTCAATCTTCCTCCTGAAAAATATTATTGCATTAAGTACCTTATAAGCTCCAAGGTTTCGTCACGGTAAATGCCATCTCCTATAACGTTTCATATTATATTATTTCAATTGGAAAAATAGCTAAAAAGTGCTAAAAAATCAGCCTTGCCGGAGATGTTTCTAAACGATTTTCGAGTTACATGCGGACCTCGATTTTGTAGCACAGAATTCTACACTGTAACCGGATTTTTTAGAAGGAAATAATCATAAGTATTGAAAAAATATTAGGTTACTTTGAACTGTAATATCTCAGTGAACATTCAATCAATTTAGTCGAAATAAGCGCCATTTGAATCAGTGCATTGTTACCAACGCAACACAAGTCAATCTATTCCGTCAGAATGAAAAGTGGTTACTCGAGATTCGATGAAGTCCGTTTTTGCCTGGTCCTGATTGGCGCAGATTCTAATGATGAGAAAGTCATCGAAGTGCTGGAAAAAAAGGTAGTCGGTTGGCTATAGGTCTGGGGAGTATGGTGGATGAGTAAGAACTTCGACTATCGATTCTTTTGATTTTTGAACGGCGATTTGTGGAAAGTGTGGACGAGCATTATCGTTGCCGAATGCTGCTGACGCAATTTTCAGTACATTTCTTCGATTTCCTCACGATAGAACTCTGCTATAACTTTCCTCTGGTTGAGGAAAGTTATAGTGCGAGTAGAACTTCACCCCTGAAGCCTATCAGCCTATAATTCAAAGTCTTACTGTTCTTCAAACATGTAATGAGTAATATCAGTATCACTAATCACACCGGCCGCCCTTGGGAAGTGTCTGGGTGACTTATCGGTGTCCAACCTTCGTCCTTTTCATCACACTTGACGATCTAATCCGAGGAAAGATCGCAAAAGTGTGACAAAAAGCGCGAAAACTGGGGCATCCACTTTTCGAGCTTTTACACATATCCAATACGTTTCAAACCATCAAAGAGCTTATGGGAGCTGGCGCCCAATTATTATACCATCTTCCCCATCCTTTGTGATTGGTCAGTTTGCACCAGGCTCCCCAAATCCTCGTCTTGTGTGTCGATCACTTCAGGGCTAAAATATCTGTAACGAAATTTCGCTTACCAACGTTGAGCAGTGCGTCCATCAACACTGTCATTGTCAAATGCCTGGTTGATTTTTCGGGCTGTTTTGATAGCGCTTTGGTTTGATTTGAATTCATAGAGAAAAATTGATCGGTGAAACGCGCGTCAAGAAAAGTTTTGCAGTTCTGGTGATTGGGAAAAGTGCTTGCTTTGGAAAAAATAGTGCATATTTCACATATATTCACCCTCCATTTTTTTCCATAACAGATGTGTCGAATAAAACATAATTCCTTGGAAAAATAGAACAAAAGGCACCCATTGGTAATATGCATGCTTCTTTATCGGTTCTGCTGAGTTTATTCCGTAAGGTCCTACTCCTGGATGTGCCAGATTACCAGAATCCAGTTGATTAGCATCGAGGTGTTTAATCTGAAAATTTGTAATGAATCAAATCAAACGTTGATCATCAGTAAAAAATGTATGGTTATTGTATAAGGCCTATTAGAAAAAGTGTATTTTTCAAGAAGCTTTCGAATGACCTTCTGTTTAATCAGATGTTAAATGCCATCCTCCATCTGTTTTCACTAGCAAAGCAGCGGATATATTTCTGTTGCTTTTCGATTTAAAAAACATAAACTGTAGCAGATCTTGCATCATAATCCATGCATGACCCATCAGATTACTCACATTGGAGCTACCCTACCTAGGGCTAGAAAAACTTCTGGAAATAGATTGTTAAGAACAGCTTTGAGCTCATTTTTACAAATTACAGGTTTGGAGGATGTTAACTATATCCGTCAATCATCAAGTCTTACTCCAATATCTGATGAACGTTTTGAGCAGAACAGGACCTCATCGAAAACAATGCTTTTCAGTATCATGAAGCCCTGTGAGCCTAGCCGAAGAACTCGACGTTGGAAATTGATAAAGGAACGTCAATGTTTCGAATTTGAACATAAATCAAACAAAAGCAAACAGTCATGTTGTCATTCGTATACCGTTAAACTATTATTGATTACATAATGTCGTTGCGACGCCTACATTTTCCAACTATGAATGGGCATGAATAATGAAGGTATGAATGAGATGCCAACCTGATCGGATTAGATTAGATTAGATTAGATTGTCGAGGATCTAGCCCATGGTCTGATTCAACGCGACCTTTTCAGATCTATTGTGATGCTCCTTGGTTGCTAGAGCTCATTATCTAGCTTGATCTCTTTGATGAGACTCCATAGCCTTGACACTGAACCCTTCATAAAGCTGGCAGTCTCTGGTTTCTCTTCCCCGCATCTTGCGTGTCTCAGCTTTGCTATCGCTTCGCATTCACAGAGCACATGCAGTGCGATTTCTTTCTCTTCTTGACAGAACCTACATTGGGTTCCTTCTGTCAGACCCATGTTGCTCATTTGTTTCCCGAGCCGGCTATGCTCCGTTAGTAGACCCACCACTACCCTTACAACCTTACGGTTGTGGTATAGCATGTCTTCTGTGAATCTGGGCGATAGTTTCTTCATGAGCTCTTTCGCCTGCCTCTTTCCTGGGAGCTCATTCCACCAATCTATTGATTCGGCTTGCATCCATGAGTTTATGGATCTCTTTATACATGCTTTCGCTACCCGCAGAAGGGTTCTGGGCCGATCATAGCCTTGGATGCGTCTTCACGGGCTACACTATCGACCTCCTCATTGCCCTTGTGACCTTCACGTCCGGGTTCCCAAGCTAGAGTGACCCTTTTTTGGGTACTCAGCTCCTTGAGTGCCCTTAGACAGCTTCCCAACAGTCTTCAGAAAACTCAAAATGAGCTGAGCGCTTCAATTGCCTCCTGGCTGTCGGAGAAAATGGCAATGGTTTTATTTGTGACCTTCTGCCTGTTTATTTCCCCCATAAACCTTATCGGAAAAGTATAGTGGACTTGAATTGAAAGATATATTTCTGTAGAAAAGATTTATGTTTGAAGAAAAAAAGTTATTGGACTTCAATTCTCAATGTTTATACAAACATTGTGGAAACTTCCAGTGGTGTACTTCGAAGTTTCGGAACAAGACACTTGTCTTATTACCTCTCCAGCAGCGTTTTGGATATCATTACAAGACGAAACACTGATTTCATTCATAACGTTTTCATGGACAGAACACAAGCATTACAGGGGAATTCTCAAGACGTTCTAAGAGCGGTGCCTGTGCGAAGGTAGTTAGATTTGAATCGCTGCAGATTATATTCAAAATGTTCCCAGGAAGTTTATTCCATATTATCGCTGTTCTCCAAATGAAAGAGATCCTCAACAGTGAAGTTTGAGGTGTACTGCACTGAACCTCAAAACGATGTGCAGCCAGTCCGTCGCGCATTTCAGATATGTACCGCTCTTGATGGAATCAAATGTGCCAAGTCACTTGAACACCTCCCGTGAAAGTATCTATAGAAGAGAGACCAATCTCCAACCTTTCTTCGATATTCCAGGCTATCAAGGTTCTGTGTCTCTGTATCTGTAGAGTAGGGAGGGTGAGTGTAGACCCACAGCACTTAGACCACATGTGACCCATTGTACATCCTCCCGAAGAGTTGTCCTCCTAGGTCACCGACCATCCTGTCCTTTCCAGGAAAGTGGACAAGTCACTAGGAGACATCTCCTTTATATTGGTAGATATAGGCCGAAACTCGCCGAACATATACTCCCTTTGGCAACCTTGAGGTGTCTCACGGTGGCCTCCGCGAAGGTTATTGGCTTCTATTTTTTCAGATTTTGGAAGGTTATATACCAAAAAAAAACAGTATAAGATATTGAGTCCTCCACAAAATAATGTCGTTTGAAGAATACTTCAAAGAAGGTCTGATTTGAGCTTTATAAAGCATCAAAAGTTGCTGAGGTGGGTACAGTTTTCTGGTTTGGAACATTGTCTGTCCTGACATTTTTAAATCCGGTTCGGACATTACTACTTCATGTCACGGATGAGACATCCATATGCTTATTTGATATTATTCCAGTTATCTTCAGTAATATTCATTTGGTGTAGTAATATTCATTACTACACCAAAGGTTCCAAACAGTATATCACAAGTCCAGTTATCTTGTTTAATGTGGAAAGGATATTTATTAAAAGACATTATTTTCTAGGCAAAAAAATGTTCGTTTCTTTCTCCATCTTCATACAAAAATTTGGCGGAAACTTCCAAAGAAAGCAATTAGGTCCAAAATAAACTCCTCATAAAGATGTTTAGATCATGCTTAGAAGTTACTTTCAGATACTACTTTCACAAGAACATTAAATTATACGAAAGAGAAAATACTTTCCAAATAACTATTATACTTTACTTTTATATGAACTTTCATCATGAATCAGAAAAGTTGTTCTTCGTTTATATTTCATGACATATAATTAAGTTGATTCCTCCTTAATACTAGATTGTAAGCTAACGATCTTAAAGATATTTCTTGACTATCACGTTTTAATTATTCTAATTTATTTTGTTCAACTCGTTTCATACCCTTCAATGAATAATTCAAAAGATACATGGTTAACTTCACGTGAGGTAAGAAGAGAAATTAAATTCGTTGAACTAGGTAAAATCTTTAACACAGAAATCCAGCGATACGGATATCAAATCATTTTCTCCAACAGATTCAAAGAATGATTTGATGAGAGCTTTCCAAAAAATTGCAGGTATTTTCAAGGAAATCATTTTTATAGCGTGGTTTTATTAAATAATAATATTAATAATGATAATAATATCGTCTTTATCATCTTCAAATACATTTCAAGTCAATTAATCAGGTACAATTTAATTGTTATATGAAGATAAAAGGCGAAGTTCAATTTGCATGATGACAAGTCATCTTTCAATTGCTCTTCCACTCAACCTCAACAATGATAATCGCTTTTCGCAAAATCATTGTACATTTTTTGCTTAGAGAAGGACAGTCATGATTTTACTTTAAAGGAGAATTATTCAATTTTCTGTCTTATTTATGTTCTAGACTACTGAAAAATCAAGAAAATATGGGATGCACAGCTGTAAGCTATTCAATGAGTATGCATTTATATGTATATTCCAAGCAGTATATATTTGTGGTATAAGGCACTACCATCCTTCAGATATAAATATCAATTTCTTTATTCACACTTATTACTGAAAAAGCCGGTTTCGTATCATTTTGCGAATTCGTCTTGCGGGTATTCAAAGAAACACTACATCGGAATAATTCTACATCATAAACATTCGTCCGTTTTCTTCATTCATGTCACCAGTTTCTGCGAAAAAAATTATGAATTCCATGTACGTTGTAGGAAAGAACTTCTACTGGCAACTTTGGTTTGACTGGTTGATAACACTTTTTGTAAGGAGTTATTGAATCGGACAATATAATAATATGATGTCAAGTGAGGATGAAACTTCTCACTTTCAAGCTCTAGAGTTTTAACACAAGTGACACCATCTCAGTTTCGTCAGGTATCATGTAATAACATCAATAAAGGGGGTTTGCCTGGCCATCTCCGATGCAATCAGTGTCACGCCGTGATCAAACATGAACATTTTTATAAACCTATCACTTCTCTATGCCTTACTGTAGGAAGAGGAAGAGACCCAATACCGATTAGACCTGACTGAAACGTAAGGGAAGAGGAAATACAAAGAGCACAAAGCTGATAGATCGAAGACACCTCAGGCTCTGGTGGCACACCTTGGTTCAACAAAAATTGCGTGCAAGCTATCGCCACCAAAAATCTCGCCTACCGGCAGTGACGCATACGGCAGTCGTTATGATATCAGTGATATCAAACATCATGGAGAAAGTCGTAAACCACCATATCCTCAAATATTTGGAAGGATTCAACATCAGTGATCATCAATATGGCTTTCGGAAACAAAGATCAACAAGGCGATCTTCTTCCGTATGACACTCATATTTGGATTAACGCCATCGAGAAACATGGAAAATGAAGAGCTGTTGCTGGCCAAACTTTGATGCTATGGCTTGTAGGATCATTATTTTGTGTGCCAATTTAGCTTCCTGCAAGTGGCCGTCGATGGATACCTCTCGAAACCTTTCAGCATCAACGCTGGTGTTCCCCAGATATCAATTTTGTCTCCAACCCTCTTTCTATTGTATATCAATGACTTATTGGAAAAAAACAAGAATCCAATATATTGTTTCGTTGACGATAGCATACGTGTGTTCTATTTGGATTCCAGTACATCGGCTACGGAGGCACATCTTCACCGGAAGCAGGATATTGCATTTCTTATTGGGGTGAAAGTAACTAGGTTCAATTCAATGCCACAAAATCCCAGGCATTGGTTTTCTCATGAAAGATAAATGTCTCCGAACTAGATATAATGATGTCAGGTCATACAATTCCGCTTTCTGCTTCGATAAATTTATTGTAGGTTAAAATGGACACCAATATGTCTTGGCACAATCATGTCGC